TTACAGAGAATATGAGATCAAATACTGCAAAAACAAATGAAAGTGCAAAAGATATAAAACAACTTGTTGATTGGATATTAAAGATTAGAGATGGAGATATGCCTTTGAATGAAAATGGTGAAGGACATATTGGCATACATACCCAACCAAAGATCTTTTAATTGAAGACAATGAAACACCTTTACTTTCATTAGTTAATTTTATTTATTCTCATTTTGTACATAACATGATGTCTACTAGTAATTTTGATGACAGAACCATACTTTGTCCTACTATTGATTCAGTTGAGAAAGTTAATGATTTTATTTTATCTTTGATATCGGTGAAGAAAAAACATACTTGAATTCTGATACACCATGTCAATTAGATAAGGATAAAAAAACACAAGGTGAATGATTTACATTTGAATTTCTTAATGACATTAAATGTTCAAGTATTCCAAGTCATCGACTTAGATTAAAAGTTGGTGTTCCCGTAATGTTGTTGAGAAACATAAATCAAACAAATGGTTTATGTAACAGAACAAGATTGCAAGTGAATGATTAGGGAAAAAAATATCATTTTAACTAATGTGATTGCTAAGAAAAACATTGAAGACAAAATCTTTAAACCAAAAAAGAATTTCATTCCTTTTTTCCTTTCAAGTTTTAAAGAAGACAATTTCTATTATCATTGTATTTTGCAATGAATGATAATCAATAAGAGTTAAGGTCAATTGCTCTCTAAAATTGAATTTTATCTTTCACGTCCAGTATTCACTTATGGTCAGTTCTATGTGGCCATTTCTAAAGTCAAAACAAAGAAAGGACTGAAAATACTTATATTAGATGAAGAAGAAAATGTAATATCATGTACTAAAAATGTAATGTACAAATAAATTTTTGAAAACTTCTAAGCACATGCAGGTACACTATAATATAAAAAATTATATATCTACTTCATTTATTTGTTATACTTTTTTTAATTATTTAGTTTATAAAAATGCATATTTATGATGTTCATTATTGTTTACAAATTATGTTAATTCAATAATCACCAAATTACACAATTGGTAAGTTTTATTAATAATCATATAACAAGTTATAATTGAGTGACATATACTTTGTAGTATAAATTTACCATGTTTCTTAATAGATTTTTTTTTTTCATGTCATATATTAAGTTTATAGATTATTATACTATTATTATTGTAGATTATACAAAATATATATATATATATATATATATATATATATATATATATATAGTCTTTGTCCATTATTCAATGGTGTAAAAATTAAATAGGTATTTTTGAAAATTTTCTATCACATAATTTCTTCGACTTTATCTTTAATCTATTGTAAAAAAAATTATTTTACACTATATTTCTCAATATAACTTTTCCATTTAAAATTTTAAAAATTTAGAATCATTTACAACATTTTTTTTCCTTCTTATTTTTTTATTAATATAAATTATTCATATTAAATTATTCTTTATTATTAATAGAAAAATTTAGATAATCCCATACATTGCATACATGATATTAATTTATCTAAAAATAGAGATAGAATTCATAAAATATATTTAAAGAATAGAGATAAAACATATTTAAAAAAATTAAAAATATTTAAAAATTAATATAAACATCATAAATTTAATAAATTCATTTTTATTATTATAATATAATATAATATTATTCTAATTTATTCTCATGCTACATGGCACATCATAAACAGGATTTAATGATTTGGGATTTTATAAAATAAATCAAACCAAAATTTGTCAATTTATTTACTTAAATAGATTTATTTATTATTTATAAGTAATTTTTGCTCATGTAGTATTTTTTTATTCCCTCATTTTTTTTTCGTTTTTCTCTTTTCTCTATTCCCTTTTTTTCATTTCTTTTTATTATTTATTTTTTAATTAAAATTATTATATTAAAATTTAATAAAAAAACATGTTAAAATAATTTTTTAAAATCTAACATTAAATCTAAAAATATGGATTAATTATTTAAATTTATTATATTAACAAATAATTTATTATTTTAATAATAAATTAATTTTATTTATAATGATATAAATCATTAATTTAAAATTATTTTATTATAATAAATCAATTGAAAAAAAAATATTTATGAAATAAATGTATTTTTTTGTTAATAATTTAATTTAGTTATAATTAAATTGGATTATGATAATTAATTATATTAGGTGTTTTATAAAATATTTATTAAAAAATTATTTAAAATAAATATTTAATTTTTTTAATAATGATAATATAATATAATATTTGTAATATCTTAAATTTATCATATAAAATTTGTTAAATATAATAAATTAAATTATAATATTTTGATCATTTTAATATTTTTTTTAATAATAAAAAAAATATTTTATCAAATTTGAATATAATTTTTAGGGATAGTAAAGTTGGATAGGCCCAATAAGTCAGTTCGTTAAGCCACCTAAAAAAATGATAAGACAGGTTGGTAATTTCAACTCTTTAGCTCTGTTTTGATCCACTCGTCAACTCGAGGAGTCAAGGACGGGACGAGCTAGTATGCTTTAGAAAAATATTTATATATTAAAATAAAAATAATTATAATTAAAAATATTATATTTTTTTATTATATTATTAAAATATATATATATATATTATAATTTAAATTATAAAAATTAATCAATTAAATTTAAATTATTGATTATAATTAGTTCTAATTATTGACCATATTATGTATAGAACTAACTTCGGGATTAGTCACCATATAAATGATCTTTTAGAAGCACATACTCCTCTAGATAGATTGGGACATAGGCATAAGAGTCTTTTTGACAAAGTTAATAATTTAATTCATTTTCAATTAGGTCTTGCTCTAGACTCTTTAGGAGTTATTACTTCTTTGGTAGCACAACACTACTCTTTACCCACTTAAGCATTTATAGCACAAAATTGTACTACTCAACCTTGCTCATCATCATCATCATCATCATCATCATCAATCTATAGTAGGCTTCATTATGATAGGATTTCATTATTTTAACTCATAAATGTAATATTTTTTCAACTTATCTAATAAAAAATATTAATTAATAAATAAAAATTTAAAAATTATTCTTAGAATTAAAAATATATTTAAATATATATATATATATATATATATATATATTTAAAATTTTAAAAAAATTATTGACGGACTAGTATGCTTTGGTACGCTCTATGACGAGGCGATTTTGCCTCCCAGATCCCTATTCCCGACTTTTTAAACTGTCCTTGTCCCCGCATCCCGCTCTCGATCCCTGTCGAGGTTAGAAATTAAGTTTTTATCCCAGTCCCGCCAGGTTTCGGGTTTCCCGCCTCGCCCCGCGTCGTCCCTAATCTATATTATTTTTAAAAATATAATTATATCTATAATAAATTAATTTTACTACGTATCTTTTATATATAAATAAATATTTATAATTTTACAATTTGTAATTATTATTAATTAAATATATTCTTTAATTTATTATATTTATATTAAAATATATATGTAAAAGAAATATTTAATCATTATATATATATATATATAATATTTATAACATTATTATTATTATTATTATACTATATTCAAATATTTGAATACTTATAACATTATTATTATTATTATTATTATTATTATTATTATTATTTATTCAAACATTTGATTATATATATATATATATATATATATAAATTAATTCATTTTTAATTAATTCATTTTTAAGTTGTCATTTAAAAATATGAAATATATAGTTTATAAAAAAATATTTAATAATTTAATTCTTATTTAGTTAGTTCGAAGTAATAAAAGTTTAAATTATTAATTTTTTTTAATCTTTTAAAATATAATTATTTTATTAAGATAAAACTTGATATATGATAAATAAGAATAATAAGATCCAAAAAATATGGCATAATAAAATTTAATAAATATAAATTATAAATAAAATAATATTAGTTATTACTAAGATTTATGTAAAATATTTAAAAAAAGATAATAAAGAAAAAAATTAACTTTGTGTTCATCAAATTGGTTGAAAAGATTAAAAAAAAATTGATTAGAGAGATTAAGGAAATATGAAAAACTTAAAAATAAAAGAAAAAGAATAATGTAATAAACTAATTGATATAAAAGATTAAAAAAGATAAAAAAATTAAAAAGTAGGTAAAAAAAGTAAAAATGGTAAAATATAAAAAAATAATCTTATATATAATAGAAAAAAGGTAATACTTTTAAAATTTAAATTTAAATATAAAGTCGGGATGGAGACGGGGTAGGGATGGAGACGAGGTCGGGATGAGGATTGCATTACTCATCCCCGCTCTCCCCGCCCCAACTTTTTATAGCAGAGAAAACCCGAACCTAACCACGCCTCCGCCTCTGCCCTCGTCCGATCAACTCAATTTTTTTATCAAACTCGGGACAAAGACGGATCGGTCCCACGAATATGAGTTTAATTGTCATTCCTATCGGTGATTCAGTTTGACCCTGAAATTTTGTGAGTTGGAGACTAGACAAATGAAAAAAAGATGAAATCAACTATTTTGTCATTCTTAATAATTTTTAATTATAAACATAGAAAAAAAAAACTTACTAAAGGATGATAAAAAAATTAAATTAAAAATTAAAAAAAGATAAATAATTATATTATATTAGATTACTTTATTTTTATTATTAAATTTTGATAAAAATAAAATAATCGGATAAATAAATTTTATGAAAAAATTTTAGTGAAATAATTTTTCATTTTAAATATATAATTTATTCTGCGATCAAAATTGGAACTTCTGTTCTGTGGAAGATGAACGATTCACAGGGCAGAGTCCAATAACACAGCCAGACAGAGGTTAGTAATTCAACTTTCTCTCTCTGGATTCAACCTTCAACGATTCTGGTTCTGGTTGCGGCGCTTCCACTGACATTTCTAGGGCCGCGACTAACTCCAATTCCATCATTGATTCTTCATTACTGTTGCCATAAAAGCAAAGAATACATGGGTTCGGGTTCGGGTTCGGATTCTAATGGATGGAACCGTGCCCGAGGGTTGGCGGTTAAGACTCTGCTACTCATTGGTGGCGCACTTCTTGTCAAGCGACTCCGCAAATCCACCACGCGCTGGGACCATGCCCATTTCGTCTCTAAGTCCCTCACCGGCCAAAAGGTTCTCTTAATTTCTCTTCTCACCTCCTAATGCTTGTTTTTTTCACTTCCATTTCTGAATTATTATTATTGTTGCTGCTGTAGTATTCACAAGATCAAGCCTCCAGAGACCCTGATAACTATTTCAATATAAGGTATCTTTCTTTTCCATTACCTTCTTTTTTTTGTTATCTTGGTTATATTTGTTTATCTTTTTTTTTGGGACGAGAGCGGATTTTTTAAATGCGACACCGCTGAGATTTGGTTGTTGCAGATTGCTTACATGCCCCGCAGCAGAGCTAGTGGATGGTTCTAAAGTGTTGTATTTTGAACAAGTGAGTGAGCATTGCTATGCAAGTTTGGAAGTTACTTATCCGTGAGTTATTTTTTTCAGTTGTTTTATCTTTGCTTTAACTATCAGCTCAATGATGTTATATTTTGTGCTGCTAGGCTTTTTGGAGGAGTCCACAAAAACCCTTTCGGCAGGTAGAGTTTTTTTATCTTATGAGAAATTCTGTTTATATTTTCTGTTTGTCTTCGTGCTTGAGATATTTAACAGGAGTAAGATGCTTCCGTTTGATGTGTTTAGATGGAAAATGTCTGCATGTTAAAACACTTTACTTTGTTGCTTTTTTCTAATAATTTTTCATTTCCATCATTCATCTTTTTGCAGAGGTTTTTTCTGGTGAAACCTTGTCCGAAAGAGTTGAAATGTGACGTTGAGGTATGACTTGACACGCTTTAATGATGCTGATGCCTTTCCATTCTTCTAGTACTTTTTTTGTATGAAGCATGTTCTTATGATAGTGATTAGTTGCCTTTGTGAAGAGTAGCTAAGTTAGCCATACCACATTTGCTAGTGATTAGTTTTTGATATAATTATGATGTGGATGCTTTGTCTTTCTGACATCTCTGACTTTGTAAAACAATAGTGAGATCTTCTTTAAAGGAGTGTACCATAACTTTTATACAGAATGACATTATAAAAATTTAAACTCAGCCTTCCTTACGTAATGTGGTCTGAACTGTTTAAAACTTCATGTGAAGTTTTTCTGGTTTTATATATGCACAATAATGCAGGACAGAGGGGCTCAAATTTTAATTAAATGCTCGGTTGCTATTTGGGCTACTGTGGATTATTATTATTCACATTGGTGTGTATAATTAATTCAAATATTACCAACATTCAATTATAATTGATACTTGTTCTTATGTTTTTGCTCTGATTTGTAGAACTATGATTCCATTTTAGCTTATTTCTTTTTCAGAGGAATAGTATACTCTTTTTTTTTTGTTAAAACTTACAAAAAGCTGCTAGGTTTTGTTTAATCAGAGCATGAATACTAATTTCTGTTCAATGGCAGTTAAGTGCATATGCCATTAGAGACATGGAGGAGTACAAGAATTTCTGTGATCGACCAAGGGATCAGCGTCCACAGCCAGAAGAAGTCATCGGAGTAAGCATTTAGTCATATTCATTGTTCATACTCTTAGCTTAGAAGCATCTTCATTAGACATTTATGATTTCTATTTGGTTAGATAGAGAGAGAAGTGGAACAGAGAAGAAAGTGATTTGTAAATTAAAAGTAAAAAATCTTAGGATGCTGAAAAGAAATTCCGTGGAGGTAGAGCAAAAAAGGAAGAAAGAGATAGGTGGAAGTTAAAGATATGCTCTGAAATATAATTATTGTAGTTAGATTAATGGATATCATGAGATTGCTTAGACATCTAAATATCCCATATTGAATACCACATAAACAATATATTAATAATTAAGGAGTCATAAAAAAAAGACCGCTTTACACAATGCCATAGATGCCAAGAATCTAATTGGTCATCAAGAGGTAGATAAAGTCAGTGTGGCGAGTCAAGCATCACAGTATCAGATATATCATTCTTAAATGACAAATAACCAAATGGGAGAAGTAATGTTCTAGTTTGTCTGAGGAAATGCATCTGTTATTTTCTACAAATTTTGTTTATAAGGTGATGCTATGAGAAGTCAATGACTTAGGAAAGTAGGATGTAGAAGTTTGTTTTGCAGGCTTCTTGAGCCTATTATCTGAACAGAATCTGGTATAAAGGAGTCTTCTTTTATGAAATGCACGTAGATTAATCACCAGAATGAAATATATCCATGGATTGATTTTGTCTTCTACGTTTCTGATTATAATTTTGTCCCACGTTCTTTTCTTGCTCTGCCTGTTTGGTGCTGTAGTTTTTGTTAGATTTTTTCAGTTGACAATTAGATTTTCAAAAGACTAAATTTCATCAGTGAATTATCTTTTGGAAATTCTGGGCAAAAAGTCTATTTGATTGACAATTTCTTAGTTAATTACTTTAACATGTTCTAAATGGGATTCGTGAGAAGTTTGTGTATTTGAATCTCTTGATATCACTTATACTTGAACAATTGTAATATTTGTACTGTGGCTTGCAGGATATTGCAGAACATTTGACAACAGTACATCTTAAGCGTTGTCCACGCGGAAAACGTTGCTTATATGAAGGTTCAACTCCACCTGGCGGATTTCCTAATTCATGGGTAATTTCTGTTTTCACTATTATCTTATCCTCGTCCCTGTCCTTTTTGTACCAGTACTACTGTATATAAAAGTTGGGTTGACAATCTGCACTATTTGTAGCAGAATGGAGCAAGCTACTGTTCGTCAGAAATTTCAATTATGAAGAACAATGAGATACACACCTGGGATAGGGGTTATGATGACGATGGAAATCAAGTTGGTTTAATTCATCTCGTTTTATCTACTTTGATGGATTGCTTTACCTTTTTAGTTGCTAATTTAGATATATAGCATATGACAACAACAAAGAAAATCAGAAACATTAATTATTTCCTATTTGTTTGCAGGTTTGGGGACAAAAAGAAGGCCCTTATGAGTTCAAGCCTGCTCCAACCTCCAGTTTTAATGATATGTTTTCTCCCTTGAATTTTCCCCCTCCACCGTCCACTGAGAGAAGAATAGAGGGTTCATTTGTTTTGCAAGAATGAAAGCGTTCCATATAACTACATTGTGTTATTCTGCTATCGTAGCTGTATGTCAATATAATGTCTTTCTCGTTGGTCAGCACTATCTTGTCAATATTTTCAGTCATATTTTTATCTCAGTTAGTGTTAAAAGCAATAATCAAATAAAGAGCTGCCTTTTTATATCATGTTTGGATTAGATTTTGTTTAGAGATCATAATCTGAATCATAGAAAATAAATTGTTGGCGATACAATTCAAATATATTGGTAATTTAACAGAAGAGCAAGATAGAAACCTGCGAAAACTGACCTAAATAAACAAACGAATAGGAATAAATTAGAGGACTTTTTTTTTCCTGAAATAAAGGGTAATGGAATCGTAGATCCAGCCTAAAATTTGTTATTCAGATTGAAGTATAATACCGCTAGCACTGCAATTCCCACAGCAGCTGCAATAGGAGGTGCCTTCCTGTTTGAGAAATATTGCATAGATAAATGCCAAGACAAAATGATGTGAGGTTGTGAAAATACTACACTAGGCAAAAGACCAAAATTATGACCCACTCAGTTGCTTCTTCTTTCTGGATGTTGGATTTCCTTGCCTTTCTAACAGCTGTATCATTTGCGTTTTTTGCACCAGCTGGAGCGTAGGGCCTAAATCTCTTTTTGGAGCACCACACACTGCAAAACGCCATTTTAAGGCAATGAAAATACATAATACTTACTTAGTTCAGTGACCCTCTTGTTTCTTTTGTTTGACTATTAGCAATAATTTGATAATCTACTAATGGAAAGCAAATTCTGTTTTGCATTGATTTTCCTTTAGTTTTTTTGTTAGGTAACGTAGTAGGTGAAGTAATAAGTAATTAAATACCGGGACAGAAGAATTTATCGGGCAATTTGTCAAAGGGTGTCCTCTCATTGTAAATATACCTGCATCATTATCAACAGATCCATAATATTGTTGTATATATAAAGAACAAGTGCATATACTTCATACATGAATCATCTATATCACTTTGAGAAAGGAGAATTATAAAGGGTAAGGGAAAAGATGAAAGGAAACCCGCAATCACGACATATATAAGCTTGCTTGGAAGCCACTCGCATGGAAATCCTGGGAGCTCCAGAAGTAAGATGCAATTGTTTTGGATGAAGTAAGAGGTTAAGGGAACCAGAGAAGAAAGATGACTTCAAAACTAAAGGGTTAAACTGTGGTGGCAAGCAAGGATTGGTAGTTGGGGCTAATGAAGGAGGGGACCTTGCTAAGGGTTATTGTGGGTGGGTGTAGGTGCATGGCCATTTATTTCCCTTTGCTATTCCTATGTATCTCAGTTGACAGAGAAGGAAGAAAGAAAAGAAAGTGAGTGAAGTTGATAAGGAAAAGGTTGTGAACCGACGGGTGATTCTCATGTTAATGTTGTGTAATCGGCTTGTGTCTGAAGCCTAGGTGGAAAGCGTGGCATATAGACTCCCCACACATGCTCTTTCCCACTCATGCATTAGGCATCAAGTATTACTGCAACTATGCTACTGCCCCACCCTTCAGAATACCCAGTAATTTAGGTCAATGCTTCATTCCGAAAATAAAACAAGTGTTGTCTTCAAAATTTTATTTAAGTCTAATTTAATCTTATGAAATTAGGATGTAATAAGAAAATTATATATAATAAAGCCATATTTTTAATAGATATGAGAATTTTAATATATTTTCTTCTGTGAAGCATTAAACATCCTAACAAAAGGCTAAAAATTTATAAATGTTTCGATAATGATTTAATTGCAAGTGATGATAAAATAATATTATAAGATAGAGATTATATCTACTTATATGATTATATAAAATTTCAAATAACATTAAAAAACAACGTTTTTTCAATTATTTTATTATCCCGTATTAATGAGAAATTTGAAAATTATATATATAGAAAGGGGGTTTGTAAAGAATGTCACGTCACTTCAAATATCTCTATTATTAAGTCCCTCGAACCATTGATATAAAATCGTCTAGTAAAGGTCAAAAGGTGTTTGTATTACAATTAATTTTGGTAGACTTTATTTTAACTTACATTTATACTCAATGTTTAAACGTATTCTTGGAGTATAAAATTTGATTAGAATATGTAAGTAAATGGATCTACTACTTCTTGATTATACATTTTATTTTTTAAGAACCAAATGATTCTCATAAGTTTGGGATGTAGTTTCTAAGAAGATGATAACCTCCTAAAGTATTATAACTTATATTTATAATTTCTTTTTTAATTTAATAATCATTATATATATATATATATATATATATATATATATATATATATATTTAACCACTTATTTTTCTATATTTTTTATTATTTATTAATAATATCTTATTTAGTTACCTTAAATCAATGTTCAGGATTGTAATGTCTCCTCTTTCTTGATTGACTTATCTTTTTCTTTGCATGAGATGACGGGATGTATCATTTTGTTCGTTTGAGTACTAGGAGGGGTATCTTGTGTTCTCAGATCTGATGAGGTATTGTTGAGGTAATACATACATAATAAATTAGCAACGTAAACCTTAAAATTTTTATCAATTTATACTATTTTAATGGAATTTCACCTGCATGAACCATTACGAAGTGTCCTATATATCCTTAACATGTGATTAAGGTGCAATAATCCAATTAATCTTTTAAAATGTTATTATTTTGTCAGGTCAATATTACATAGTATTTAAAATTAGTGTTATCCTTTGGTCTTAAAATATTGATTCATATGTTGTTCATTGGTCCTATGCTTGAGGTGTAGGAATGACGAAAAGTCTTTAGAAATTTTTTTTTTTTTTTCATTCTTTCGTTGAGGACATCTCGACCACATTTGTACATCGATCCTCCAACTTCAAAGTGTAGCAATAATGAAAAGTGTTTCGAAAAATAAAAATAATTCTTTCTTTAACTAAAGTAATCTCAAATATATACATATACTAATTCTTAAAATACTTATTATTGAGATTGAGTTCTTAATTATGTGTTGGGCCGAAAATTGGAAAGAAAATTCTTAAACGTGGTGTTCTATATTTTAACAAATGGGATTATGAATTAGTAGTTTATATGGAGAGAAATCAATTTTACAATGTTAGTTTGATAGTAAGGTTTCTTCTTTTGTTTTTCAAATTGAAAGTGATGTATTGGTTGGTTATAAGTATCGATTTATTTTTTTCATAATTTTTCTGTACCCTTTATTTGATCTTAGTGAAACTTAATTGATTGACTTGTATTCCTAAATTTTTACTTATCACGTTAAAATATTTGAATCTCTTTGCAAATTTTCATTATCATTATTTATTGTTGGTTATGATAATTTAGGGAAATTATTTTTGTCAGGTACTTTTTATAATCTATTATTGTTATTTTCCTATTAGAGTAATATCATAGCTTTTTGGTTTAATGCTAAATTTACTCTTGCTTGAATGATGAAGCAAATACAAATATGGTTGTTTTGAATGGTACAAATTATTATTTGTGGAAGGACAAGATGAAATACTTACTGTTTGTGAAGAGATTGCATATTCCAATTTTTGTTACTCAAAAACTGGATTCTATGTCTGATGAATTATTGGACTTTGAGTAACAATAAGTTGTATTTGTTGAGCTGCTTGATGAATTTGAGGTATAGAGAGAGTTATCCCATTTCATATCACTTAAACAAATTTTTAGGACTCTTAGATCAACTATCAAGAATGGGTATCAATTTTGATGAAGTTTGGGACTATGGTTATGATATACTCTCCCTAAGTTTTGGAAGATATTTTGGGTTTCAATTACAAACTCAACCTCAAATGGTGTGTTTTTTTTTTTTTTTTTTTTTTTTTGCAAATGACAAATATTGGTGTTCTTAATGAAGAGATAAGAAGGAAGAAACATGGTTTTTCATCGTTTGAGGTGTTTGTCATAAAAAATAGGGGGAAAAGTTAGAAAAAAAAAAAACAAAGGATGCTAAAGAGAACTGCAAGAGCAAGTCCAAGCCAAGATACAAGAATGTAAGTGTTATTTATAGTAATAAAGTTAGGCACATCAAAAGCATTATTTTAAATGGATGAAGGATAACAAAGGCAAGAAGCATCAACAAAAAGAGAAGGATCATGATGAAAATCGTTTTACTACTACTACTACAGGTGATAATCTTGTTCTTCGTTGTGGTTGTGAGTTTGTTAAGAAGTTCTATTAAGAAGTTCTTCACATCTTACACTCTTCATGATTTTAGATTTTTGAAGATGGGTAATGCTAGTGTGTCAAAAGTTGTTAGTATTGGTGATGTTTACTTACAAACCAACATGGTAGTGTAGTTGTTACTTAGAAGAGTTAAACATGCTTTATATGTTCGTTTTAATCTAATTTCTATGCATTTAGTTAATGATAATAGTTATGATAAGAACTTTTATTCTAGTACACTAAAGGTAACTTTGTTATAGTTATAAGGGAGAAAAATTCTAAATTATATTGGATTAAAACTTTGGTTACTAAGAATAGTGTGAGTGTTATGTACATGGAAACATCTTTGTGATATCCGAGACTTGGTTATAAGTGAAAAGGGACTTAATTTAACTAAAAAAGATATGCTTTTGGGATTGAAGAGTATAGAGTTGAAGAAATTTTTTATTGCATGACTGGAAAACTAACCAAAGTATCCTTCAAGAAGTATCTTACCTTAACAAAATCAAAGTTTCTTGAATTGATGCATTCTAATGTTTATGATCATTGACAATGAAGTTGTGTTAGTGGTACACTTTACTTTATTATTTTTATTGATTATTTTAGGAAGTTATGGGCCTATGTGCAATAGAGAAAGGACCAAGTGCTTGAAAAGTTTATGTTTTGGTTAAGAGGAAATCAGACAAGAAGTTGAAATGCATTCATACTGGTAATGGTGGAGGGTATCTGGATTCTTTGATGTATATTACAAGCAATATGGTATCAAACATAAAAAAAAAAAAAACTCATTCTAAAACTCCTTAGTTGAATGGTCTAGTACAAAGAGGATAAATAGGACTTGTTGTGTATGTTTTCTGAAGTAAATTTTTCTAAGTATTTATGGGAGAGGCATTGCTCGCAATAATGCATATTATTAATCTTAGTCCTACACTTGTTTTGGATACTAAGGTACCACAAAAAATTTGGTTTGACAAGAATGTCAGTTATGATCACTTATTATCTTAAGTTACAAGGCATTTTTCATGTTCCAAATGATGAAAAATTCAAGTTGGATGTGAAGAGAAGACAATGTATCTTTATTGATTATGGTTAGGATGAATTTGGCTATAGGTTATATGATCCTGTTGAGAAAAAACTTGTTAGAAATTGTGATGTGTAATTCTTGAAAAATCATACCATTGAAGATATTAACAATGTAGAGAATACTAAACCGAAGAAAGATATCATTCTGATTTATGGTAATTCGTGTCTTTTCATAATTTGGATAATGTTAAGATTGATGCTTAGAATGATGAGTAATATGGTGATGTTGATGATCAACTGGTTAGGGATGAATTAGTGGTTCTGATTGATAATGTTGAAGAGATACATGATATGGTACATGATGATGATTTTGATGATTTACTTGAATTACCACAGGTCCCTCCTAGGAAGTCTAACAGGATGAGACAATCGTCTTCTAGGTAGTCTTCTGATGAGTATGTGACCTTGACTAATGCTAGGGAACTTGAGTGTTTTGAAGAGACTTGGGAAAGTGAAGAGCTACAATGGTTAGATAAAATACAAGACAAGATGAAATCTTTGCATGATAATTACATTTATGATTTATTAAAGTTGTCTAAGGGCAAAAAAGTCTTAGAAAAAGGAAGATATTTAGGGTAAAACAAGAGAGTAATTTTACATCTTCGAGATACAAAGCCAAATTAGTGGTGAAAAACTTGAGATAAAGAAAATGTGTTGAATTCAATGAGATTTTTTCACCTATGGAAAATATGTCATCTATCAAAGTTGTGTTAAGTTTAGTTGTTACTCTTGGTTTGAAGGTTGAGCATATGGATGTGATGCCAAATTTTCTTCATGGTAATTTGGAACAAGAAAATTATATGAAACAATTTGATATTGTTCTCGTTGAAGGCAAGGAAGACTATGTGTGTAGGTTGAGAAAGAGTTTATATGATTTGAAGCAAATTCGATGTTAGTGGTATAAAATGTTTGAGTTTTTTATATGTGACTAATGCCACAAAAAGACCACTTTTGACCATTGTGTTTTTGTTAAAAAGTTTATTGATGATGACTTTATTGTATTGTTATTATATGTTGAGACATGCTTGATGTTAGGAAAAATGTTTCCAGAATTGTCAGTTTAAAGAAACAATTGGGCGAGTCATTTGTCATTAAAAACTTGGGATATGCTAAAAATATTCTTGGTATAAGTATCATGTGTGATATAAAAGAGAAGAAATTTTGACTATCATAGGAACACTACATTAAAATTTTGTTGCAAAGATTCCATATAAAAAATGTTAAAGTAGTGAGTGTTCTTCTTGCAACTCATTTTAAACTGAGTATTAAAAAGAGTTCTTCAAATGAAGCTGAGAATATATGGATGAGAAAAAGATCCTTATGCATCTATAATGAATGGTTTGATGTATGTAACCGTATGTACAAGAACAGATATTGTATATGTTGTTGATATAGTAAGTTGATTTTTGTCAAATCTAGGTAGAAAACATTAGAATTCTATGAAATAAATTTTAAGGTATCTTCGTATTAATTGTAATTTGAGACTTTGTTTTGGAGATGATGAGTCTCCTTTGGTGGGCTATTCAGACTCATGTATGGTTGGACTTCAAACTATTTGATTAAGTTTGTAGGGGAATTGTGGCTTGGCAATCAAGGCTGCAAAGGTGTGTATTAATATCTACTAATGACGCAGAGTTAATTGTCATTACTAAAGCATGAAAGGAGTTGCTATGGTTGAAATCTTTTTTGTAGAAACTTGGTTTTGTGTAAGAAGACTATCCATTATTTGTAAATAGTCAAAGTGTTATCCATCTTGATAAGAATCAAACTTTTCATTCTAGATTCAAACATATATGATGTGAAGTACCATTTGATGTATGATACTTTGGATGCTAAGGTCTTATAATTGGAAAATGTTATTATTGATGAAAATGATGTTGATATGATGACTAAGACACTACCAAGGTAGAACCTTGAAGCTTGTGAGATTGATGGATTAGCAATTACCTCCACATAGTTGTGAGAGGAAGATGGTTGACATTAAGCTCCCAACTATGTGTTAAAAAAAAAAAAATCAAACTTGTTAAGTTTAATTTGTCTATTTAACCTTAGTGACACAAGGGTTTCTAAGTCATGAAAAAGAGTGTTATTTTTACAATTTTTTAAAAAGATAAAAAGGAAGAAAATTATTCACATCTTCACATGGTCAAATTTGTAAAAATTGCAATCCTCACTTTGTTTATTGTTGAATCAAACTAAAAATTGGACATAAAAAAAAAAGAGGAGTCTTATTTTGAAAAAAAGTTATAGTTAT